AGAAACCTCGAATTCCTATATTCTACACAATTCACCTAAAAGTAATAATGGCGTGTCCATGTTCACATATATGCTCATAGAAGGGCGAAAACCCAAACAAAAAATTGGGTTACCAAACACTTCATATCTTTTTCCCAATTATCACACCATGCACACCATGTATACTGAATACTTCTAAATAGCTGGGTGTACGTTGTGCAAACAATAATAGAATTATATTCTTAAATGCCAATAGTCTTACCAATCATATTTGTACCACTTGCTGTGACTGCATTATAGGTTACCTCTTTCGTATCGTCATTAGTGATAGGATTGTCGAAATCCGTAGAGGCTTGGAATAAAGTTACACCCACAATGTTGTCAGGGAAAATGTTCCTGAAATATATCAAAGCAAATATTATTAATTTACTTAAATAGATTACTTGAAGAGGTTAATTTCGCTTTATTTACAGGAGAAGGTCCCTGAAAATGTAGGAGATTTGGGTTCCCCCATGAGCTCCCGGATCGCCCCCACCCGGGACGTCATCACCTATCGCCCATTTACCTAAAATTATTGAAAATGTTTACATTTTTGGTCAAATTTTTGAACAATAAAACATCTGGTAGTACTCTCGCGAGTTCAGTCTCCATTTATCAATCAATAGTAGTAATAAAATGACTCAAATTTCCCAATTGCNCTAACGCCACCTTCGTTCCTTCCAATTCCTCCTTTACCCATTTCTCCACATCCGCCTATTTTATTTACTCTGTTCCCCAGAGGAAGGACCAAGAGATGACATGTTTAGTAGTTTCATCATTTTCCATCAAAGTAGGCTTGTTTGAGGTCGAAACTAATTTTGCATTAATAAACCATTCTAAGTGAGGTGAGTCAAATTTTTACAAACAGTTTAAATTATGATGCATTCAAAAATATTTCACATGTGATTTATAAATAAATAAATATATATATAAATAAATATTATTAAATTTTCGGTTATATTTTAGATTTCAGTGCTGGCATAACTTATAATGTATTTCTTGTTTATTAAATTATTTGCAATCATTACATTTCTTAACTAACTTACCGGGTTGAATTATGTAAGCGTACATAACTCCAATAAGGGGACTCAAAAGGTTGAAGATTAGAATAAATCCAAGAGAAATTGCACTGACTTTGCCATTTTCTTTCGGATTTAAGTTAGCCATAACTGCATNGACTTACCATTGATAATGTTGGCAGAAATCATTGGTAAGATGGTCAATTTAAGGAGTCGAATATAGATATCACCAGGCATGGCTGGAGAGAGAGATTGATTAATAAAATGAGTAGGGACTTTACCTATCCAAGTTTTGGCAGTTGCATCCAGTCCTTTTTGGTTTAAAGCGAATCCAACACCGAAGCCAATAATGACTCCAATTATAGTTGTAATCATAAACCAGTTGTCAATGAAAAATTGAACAAATTTATTTCTTGGAGGTTTTGCTGTACTCGCCGATTCTGCATCCTTGGTGCTCAAATGGGTGGAGACAGACAATTCTTCTGGTCTTGGCATTTTCCAACAGCAATAATGAGGTCATGCAGTTGAACCGCACCTCAAATACTCTCACCAACATGGGGTCTTAATAAATGAGCCAATCTTTGCCGACTAACTCTTACCTTGCACTGTTAATGTGATTCCAGCGTAAAGTGACTCCTCTTATTGGCTATTATAGAATGCATCAGAATACGTTTTATCTTTTCAATTGTAACTTCTATTAGTGCAGTCGCCATCACTTA